GATTGGCATCCCCTTGAGCGCTAGCCCGCCCCCGGCTCCCCTCCCGTCCCCTCCCAGCCTCCCGCCCGCCGGAGCCGGCCTCTCCCGCCCCTCCCGGCGAGCACGTGGTGCCCCGCGCCGGCCGGGCCACCTCCGCCTGCCTCGGGCACGCAAGCGGCGGGGCAGCGGGTGCGGGCCTGGTGGCCGCGGGCTCTTTCCCGACCGGCCCCCGCGGCTGTCTGACAACCTGTCGACACCGGTTTACAGTTGTCGGACACTGGGGTTTGCTGTTTCGCAGCCGAGGTGTGTCTGCTGTTTCATAAAAACATCTCGGCTCCGGCTCCTGCTTTTCCGCGGAAGGGGCTGGCCCGGGCGCGGTGACAGCCAGCCGACGGGGAGCGGCCTCTCTTCCGAAGTTGGAGCTGCCTTTGCTTTCCTGGAAGTCGTTGGCAGAAGTGCACCCAGGTGCCCTCATGTGCCACTAACCCGGCGTGGCGTGCCATCCGATGCGCTCTGGCGTCCCAGGGGCCCCCACTAGGTACTAAGTCATATGGACATGACCGACCGTGCTGTACTTGGAGAAGCGGGAAGAGGCCAAACTCTGCAACCTTTCTCTATTGTGGAAACTTTGCGAAAGGGAACCCTAGCTGAGAAGCCACTTGCTGGGGGAAGCAGATGCCGTCTATGGTAGCGGTTTCTTGGGGGCGAGAGACCTTTTCTTAACAGAGACTGCATCACAGCAGCGCAAGGGAGACATTCCAAGTGCCCAACCTGGTGATGAGAAAAGCCCAAGTGGCCTGGGCGCCCCTCCTTTGTCCCCTGGGTGTGCAGGAAGTAAACTTAAGAAGAGCATGCCGGCCTGAGGCGGCTAGGCGACCAGGCCAGGGACAGGACGTCCGTCTCCACCCTCTGCCCTGAGGAAAGAGAGAGCCTATGAGGCAGGACCCAGCACTGCTGGTTGGCTCCCCGTGGCCAGGGGCCTGGCCGCTCTAGGGCTCAGATGCCGAGTGCAAGGTCTTCCTGAGCTCCCTCTGTTCGGACGGGTTGGGCAGGCAGCTACTGAGCTTTACTCGCTGGCTTGGTTCCCATGGCCCAGATGGGGAGCGTGTCCAGGGTACCGGTCCGGGCTACTGGGGCCACTTTGCACCGCATCTCCCACGCAGCAGCCAGAGCTCCCAGCTGCCGGTGGAACCTGCAGGAATTTCATTCACTGGACTCTGGTGTTGTACTCCGTTTGTGCCGTTTGGAGCTGTGGGATTGAGGCTGACATCTGGGCTTGGTCCCCAGCATGCTCTGTTGCAGGTGACCTGGGCCACCCATACCCTGGACATCAACTGCTGGGATCATGGAAGCCCAGGGACTCTGGCAGCATGGGGATGGCTCCCGTTTCTCCATTTTGGGGTCTGAGGACAGACACAGAGCCACTGCCCATAATAGTAATGTCATCACCAGCTCTGTAATGAGGCTGTAATTTCTCTGCTCAGAGTCAGGCTTTATTCTTCTTTATGCTGCTACCCCCATCTTCACCCCAGGAGCCCCAACTTTCTCCAGAAATACCCTGCAACTGCCTGGGCTCCTTTCCTGCTGTGACAGATTCTGGAGGCAGGGGTAGGCGCTTGGCACTCCTGTTCTGGGAAGTCCCTAACCACAGCTCTCTCCTATTCCCCAGCCCACCTCCAGGAACCCCAACCCCTTCTCCCAGCATCCAAAACAAACCAAAGGGCCAGCTCCACCTCTGTTCCCTTTAGCAAACTCCAGTGTCACATTTCAGGGCAACAGGTAAACACGGGTGAGATAAGCCCTCTTGTGTGACCAGGAGAATGAGGTGGAATGTAAACCAGTGTCAGGATCCAGCCACAAGGATTGATCATCTCCTTCCCACCTTACCCCCCAAAAGTCCACCTTGACATCCGGCACCCGGTGGCTATCAGAACCTGGCGGGGAGGGGCCATCAGAGGAGGCTTTGTCCTGACCCTCACCAGCCCAGCAATGCCTCCCCACCATGCTCTGCATGTATTACCTCCATTCAGGTCATGAAATGATTGTAGGTTCCTGGAGACACCTGGGAGGTGAGTGGGGAAAACCCCTCTGGAAACCAGCTTGAGGATTAGCCAGTTACGGAGGAAATTAGAATTAGAAAGGACTGGACTTGCCCCAAGGGAGCCATGGAAAGGTGCCAGAGCAGCAAATGTGGCCATTCTCCGCCCAAGGCTATGGGCTGGGATCCTAGCAGACTCTGGTGACTTAGATCACCTCTTCCCTTCTTTCTCTTTGGCCCTTAATCAGAAAACTTCCACAAAGAGGACTAAGAAGTTGTAAGAAAACTGCCTCCAAAGCATCCTATTGGAGAGGGGGCGGGGCAGAGAAGGACTGAGAACCTGGTGGCTCAGCTTTGCCAAGGACCGTGTCCTCCGGAAAGTAAGCCCTCTACTCAGTTTTAATCATCACGTGACTAAGTAGGGCTGAGGAAGGCTGGGGTGCGGAGCCAGGGGAGAGGCTCCTGCCAGGGATCTTGGCCTGACTTCACTGTACTCCTCGTGCAGGTCCATTTCACCAGCTCCACCCTTTCGGGTCCAGCCATCCCTCTGCTGGCCTCAGTGCTGCCGGGCAAGTAGGAGGGAGGAGTTGGGTCCTGCTCACCCTCAGGCACTGGAGGGGGATGAGTAGCAGGGCTCCAGCGTCCCACTGTCTGAAAACCCATGGCCTCCAGTGTGGCTCTGGGTGAGGAAACTGGAAGAGGCCGGCTTCTCAGACCCTCAGCCACTGTTGCCGCTTGGCACGGGATCCCTCCAGCCGGCCCAACCACGGGTCTGGAGCGGTTCCCTCCTATCGCCACCCGAGTCACTGAGACAGAGGCAGGACTGCCCAGCGGTGCAGAGGAGACCTAGGGGTCGCTGCACGATCTGATCGGAGCTGCGCCGGGCCAGCGTCCCGGCGGGTCTGGGAGCTCGGTGTTCCTCAAGGACCTCCACTCCTGGGCCATTGGCAGGTGGCCCCCGTCGCCGGCCCGGCCCCGCGGAGCTCAGCTGGACAGTAGCAGTTGACCCGGACTTTCTAGCTGGAAAGCCTGGATTCTTGGTGCACTCCTGCTAGGATGTGGGCCTCGGAGGCACCCATGGGTGCGCAGGGTTGCGTGTAATGTGCAGACCTCAGCCAGGAGGGAAGCTGGGAGGGGCTGTGGTGGGCAGGGGAGGAAGCCCTGAGGCCTTGGTGAGTGGGGGTGGGGCTCAGGGAGGGTTGGTGAACAAAGCGCATTTGAATCAAGTTGACTGTTAAATTGGTTTCAAAACCTGGTGGAAAGTTGACTTGCTCCTTATGGGGCTGGGGCGGGGGTAGTTGTCTAAAGAGGAGGGTGTTGCTATCAGAACTCTGAAAAAGAGTGTCCGTTTCTGTCCCCAGCTTCTCAGTGCAGTCTCCGCTTCCTTCCCACCACAACCCCGTGGTGTATTTACATAAGAATGAAATGAAACAAACCAAACAGCATCCTCATTTACAATTTTATTTATTATAAAATAGTTATTCACTGTTTTGAAGCTCCAACTACCTAGGTCTGAAGAATAGGAGACGCCACCGCGGGGACCTGCCTTTAACACCAAGGACGGCAGCAACGCAGACCCTCCCGGGTGCAGCGGGCAGCGCTGTGGCTTCCGTCGCCTGCCGTTCAAATGGCCGTTCTTTGCTGTGCGGATGGCGGGCCGGGCGCCTTGACTGGCCCGGGCCTCCAGACCCCGCCAGGCCCTCCGCCCCAACTTGAGCAATTTATGACTCTTGTTAAATACTCATTAGGACTTTGCACCTTTCTCCTGCAGGACCCAGGAAGCCACCGGCTCAGCAACAGCGAGGCAAGTGACAAACAGTCAGCAATGACCTGCAAGGAGCACGCAGCTGTAACCCAGGTGCCCAAAGGGTCGGCTGGATGCAATGATCCGGTGGCCCTCTCAGCCCAACCCCTGGGTGCCCAGACAGTGTTCTCCTGCCACGCCAAGCTGGGGGCGGGGGTTGGGGGTGGGGGGAGGCGTGTCCACGACGCCTCTGGAGCATCCTGACCTAGAGTAGCGCCTTGAACTTGCAACACTGCGGAGACCCCCGCTCCCAGACGGGCATGCCTCGGAGGGAAGAGTCAAGTGGGGCCGGCGGGAGGAGATGCCGAGAGGCTCCAGGAAAACATGAAACGGAAAAAGGCCCAGAAGGGAAGGACACGGATGGTCAGACTCTCGGAGCAGTGCTTCAATAGAGTGGGTTTTGGCTCCCCAGAAGGCGGAAGGCAGGCGAGCCGGCGCGCAAAGTGTGCCTGGGAGCCTGGAGATTTCCCAACCCACGGGAGTTTCCCACCATTGCAAGGCAGAGAAAGGGACGCAGTGGCCCGGCCTGCAGTGCCCCGGTGAGTGTCGGAGGAAGTGAATTACATGCGTGTGCGCACGTAAATATTTTATAAACCTCCCCATAATTAACCAGATCATTTCCATTGTGCCTCCAATATGATCAACTGCGACAATGTGAGGGTTTTCGGGGTTTATAATTTGATGTCACCAGACGGTTGCTCCAGGGCAGAGGTACCATCGCTGCACCAGCTGCACTCGTGTTTATTTGTTTTTCTCCGGTGTTCCTGTAGGGCTCCATTATGCAGTGTTTAATTAGTTTGCGTTTGTATTTCACCCTTCCCAAATCAATGCCATCCCGGAGCAACGCATTGTAAATGCTGGCAGTACAGGTGTACTGCCTCCTCCGCAGCAATAGGAAACTCGTGTCTGACAAATGAAAGCGGGGCTCTCTGTCAGCTCTCTGTAGCTGGGACTTCAAGATCAAAGCCAGCGGGGACTTCTGTGCCCCCTGAGCACAGTCCTGGCTGTGGCTCCGGATGCCATTGGAGGGAGCCTGGCCACCTGCATGGGAGACAACTGACTTCATTTTGTTCAAGTCCTGTGGTCTTTGGGCCAGCGTTGGCCTCCAGTGCTTTGAGCTCGGGGCCTCGTGGGCATGGGCTGAATATGTGCAGGGCTCCCACCTGGATGCCAGGTTGTGGACAAACATGCAGATAACCTAGGACCCGACGAGGGCCCTTGTGAGTGACTTCCTGCCTGGTTCCAAAAGTGTGGATTTTTTCAATGGAACCCAGAGCATACAGCTCAAACTTCTGGAATCTCCAGACATGAGGACCCCTCCCCCCACCACCTCTCAGGGAGGTATTGGCATCTATTTCTTTTTGAAATGACCTCTGGGGGCAGGGGGTGAGGGGTGTAAATCTATCTTTCCAGCCACCAGGGAATTCTTTTACTTTCTTTTTTTCTTTTTGTCAGGAATAAGAGATTGTTCATCTTTAACTAGACTGCATAGAAATTATGATTCAACAGCAGTGTATATTTAATTAAAGTAATCTCACTTGAATTTAATTACCTAATGAATTATTTGTTTAAAAGGTAGAATGTCTTGATTGCCAAGAACCATGCAGACCTCTGATAAGAACTTGTGTTTTAAGGACAGTACTTTTAAGTGTAGGCATGTAGTAAGGTTTATATTTTAACTCTTTGAGTATGTAATTGCCACTGTACAACTAAAAAAACCAAAAAAACTATGTTTATTATGTGCACGTGTTTCTTTTGGAAATTAATAACTTCTAACTTTTTGTCATGTAAGTCTAGTTTATTTTTAAACTTATTTCATTTTGCTTTCAGCAGCATATTTTTTTCTAGTGCAAGATGACAGCTGTCTATTTGAAGACTTATTTCATGATTAGTGTTTGCACTGAAGTGGGGCACCCTTCAGGAAAACTCTAACCCAGCTCATCTGGATCCCTGAGGCATCCACACTGGCAGCAGGAAGACATTCCTTGTTATCAAACTTATGGGAATAGAGGCTACCATGGCCCAGACTTTGACCTTAACCCTTAATTTCTAAACTGTGGAAGAAGTTTTACTTCCTCTTGTTTTCAGTAAGCAAGAGCAAATAATCCCAAGCCATGCCATCCTTTCTGAGAAGCTCTGAAATTGAATGTCTGGGTAACCCTAACAATCGGTGCAGCTAATGCAGTTTATAACCGGACTCCTTAAGTGGGGAGTGTGACCTGCTGGAAATCTAACAGGATTTCTGTATTTTCTGTGGTCTTGTTGCTGCAGAAGCAGACTGCTTCATTTCCTCCTCTATCCAAGGTGATGGACAGACTCTTCTACCCCTGCATGATGGAATTTCAGCGGAGAAATGCATGATGGGGGGGGGCAGGGCGGGCAGAGAGGGTTTCACGCTCTCACTGAGTTGAGAATAGGAGATAAAAACACCTCAAATCCATTTGGTTGAATTCTACTGTCATTTTCATTAATATTTCATTAATCAAATCATTTACTTTAATTGAGAGTTTGGTTACCGTTGTCCCATAAATATTAAATACTATTAATGTGGTGTTCACCTAAGTAGGAATGGGATAAAATAAAAATGCAACACTGATAAGAATTATTTTTTGTGTTTTTCTTAGAAACTCTGATTTTTATCATGGCTGTGCATTTTGAAATTGGTGCTCTACAACCAATAGTGATTAAAATTATAACACAAACTTAATCACATTCAGTTACAATTATAGTGGCATCCTTCTTCCAAAGAACCAGATCTACATGCATACATATTTTAAACATATAGGAATTTACTTCACATAGTCTTCCAAATAGCAAGTGACAGTAAGAAGCAGAAAGGATGAGATAATAGCTTAGGAGCGATAACCCACTCCTCAGATCTGAGCCAATGCAAGGATGATTTGTTAGTAAAACCCTCAAAGGAAATTAAATGTGTGGGATGGAAGAAGCTGAAAATGCTAAATGGCATATTTATGTTGAGCTCTTCCAAAACTATTTGAAATTTAGACCAAACAGTGTTCTATCTCCCATGACTTCCTATCAGCCCTCAATCAATTATATTATTAAAGATAAAAGCTACCTACTAGAAATACCTTTTAAAAACATCCATTGGCAAATAGTCATCCACACAACATCCTAGATAGAAAGTTTCATGTATTCAGGGTTTCTAACAATGTGTGTACTGGAAGTCACTGGTCAGTAGGCAAAAATCTGTTCATTAAAGGGACATCAACTCACCCAAAATGCCCAACAGACAACCTGCCCACAGAGACTTCAGGGGAAAGTTTCTCAAATGTTCTGAAAACCCTTTGGGTCTACCAGCACTCTCCAGAACCACCCTTATAGAAAAATACAATTTTGGGTATGGGGTGAGTCTAAGGGAGGAAACTTAACACATCCCTAGACCCAGGAGTCCTTAGGCTGCTTTTTATTAAATGTCACCTTGAACTTTACTGTTACCCAAGGCTGTCTACAGAGCTGCTCCAGAGTTCAGGGCACTAGCTCCTTCACTCCTGGCCTCATGCAAGAAAAACTGCGTAGAGAGGCCTAGGGCTCCTGGCCCCCAATTGTCTACCAGCTTTGAGAACATGACATGCCATGACCAAAAAGGAGGCCAGGAAGCTCCCCATCCTCAGCCTCTATTCCTCTAAGTACCCTTCTCTAGCCCCCAGTTTCAGAGCCCCTCCCAATGCCTCATGCTGCTCAAGGCTGCCAAGATGTTTCTTCCAGGCCACCTATTCCATGTTCTGGGGCTCTCCCTGTCCTCCAAAAGAACCCACATGGCCTCTGGTCCCCTCTGTTGGGTACAAGCTGACTGATAGCAGCCTAATCCCAGCTCCTAATTGGACCTACAGTTAATCGACAGATATGTATGAACTTAAACTCCTATACAGGGAATAGTCACATTTTAATAAGGGCCCAACAGTGCATTGACCCAAAGCTTCTAGGAGAGACCCACACTCTGGATGGAGGAGGGCTTTGTCCCTTGAGTAGATGCACCATTGCGCTCCTGATGTTACTCACCACAGGAAAATGCCAAAGGTATCAGTTAAGCCCCTTTTCCGAGGTTTCACAAAAGCGGAAGCTTATAGTAGTTAAGCATGTGCTGCCAGTCTACCTGGGTCCTAGGTCCAGGGGTAGTGTATGTACCTTAGGCTTTGGCCAAGAAAGAAGTGCCATAAAAATGAAGAATTTGAGCCCGACCCTGTCTTTCATCAGCGCCTGTGCCTCACTGCCAGCAAACGCATTATCGCTGTGGTGGCGAGGTGGTGGAAGGCATCGGTGATCATTTTACTAGCTGAAGACTGTGTGACATTATCTCTAGGGTTGAGTTAAGTGGTTTGTCTAAGGTCACTTAGCCACAGGGTAATAAATCCAGGATTAGAACCTGGGATCCCAGTTCCATAGTCTGCATGCTGGGCAGGGGCAGACAGACTTGTTGACCTAACCTTCCTTCTCACCCTCCTCCCAAACCCTCAGAGCCCTCTGCTCCCGTGCCCCCAGGTTCAGGGGACTGTGTTGCAGCAGTCAGGGCTGGGAGGCAGCTGTCAGGAGCTCCTGATTCCGCCCCACACCCCTTCCTTTTTCCTATTTTAAAAATGTATTTCCTTAACATTTGTGGAGGACCACTATAAGAAGTGGACAGCCTGAGATAAGTGTCTATGGTAAATCATGCAGTTCGGTGAAACACATGCAAACACCAGACTATTGTACAAGGCAGAAATAGTACAAAGAGGGATATGCCAGGTATTTAGCTTTGGACTTTCAGCTTCAACACCTTCCCCCCACCCCCCTCTGCCCTCTACCTTACGCTGCATGAATCAGGGTCCTACAAATCCCTTATCTGCATTGCCACTTTCTCTCCCTTAGACTCTGCCAAAGTGGGTGCCAGGAGGAGGCTTTAGGGAAGATGGAGGGAGGGGGGCTTGTCCTCCCTGTTCCTGATCACTTCCTGTGACAGCATCCGCATAGTGGAACGCTTCACCCACTCCCCCAACCCCCGCAGAAACGGGTCCTATGTGGCAACAGGTGAGTCCAGTTTGGGGGTTTCTAGCAGTCAGAGAACTCCAACACTGTGTTTATTCTCAAATGAGCCCATCGGCTTTTCTCTTATAAATTGACTTGGGTATCTGTTGGTGAAGGATGCATTTTGATGATAAATTCGAAAAAAAAAAACATTCAATGAGAATTCCACTTATGTGTCTGGACGAACATTTTCTGCTGCATGTCTCTACACTTGCGGAGTGACCAGCACATGGGGAGGATGAGGAAGAATTAATTGCCTTAAAGAGTCCATACCCTTAAAGGGTCAGTTTTGGGGCAAAACAATATTACATCAATACAAATGACTTCAGAAAATGTAGTAATATCTGAATAACATATAGACATTGTGGGAAATATACTTTAATGCTAAAGCCATGATGAAGTGAAGTATTTATTGTTTAATCTGAGTTACTTTGTGGTTAGCATATCATCCTCTTGATCTTATTTGAGGATTCATGAAATGTTCTGGAATTCTTTTCTCAGAATAGGTAGTTACTTAATATTTCATTTTCTCTGTTTACTGAACGTCATCAATAAATAACAAGGCACAAAGGTGAAGTGGTTTCTGTGTAGAGTTCTTCCACTTGCTGTTAGTCGGGTGTTTGGAATAATGTGAGATAGAGTAAGGGGGTCTCCTAGCCACGTCTAAAGGGGCAGCACCCCTCAACCTTTAATTCAGTGTATGAGGTGGCAGGAAACAAGTGGAGGATCTCCTGACCACACAGGAAACCTATATTCAGCTGGTCATCAAAAAGAACAAACTGGGCTTTAGAAAACACTTAAAATGGTGTGAAGAATGATTTTTAAATTACCTTTATGTGTGTTGAAAACTTAAAACCTCAGTGATTTACCACTTGGATTTTTGGCCCCAATTTTATGCTTAAGGTGCCAATGGTACACATAGTTTTGTTTTGTTTTGTTTTTTTATTATTGAGTAGGGTTACATAACATTTAAAGACTGTGGTTGCACAAATGTTTGTTGAGTGATGATCTTGAGACAGGCATGAGTCTGGGCCATGGATTCAGCATTCAGGAGTGTCACAGGAATGAGCATGAGGTGGGAACAAGCTGCTTGCTCACATTGAGGCCCTTTGAATATTCTGAGCTGGGGTTCAGCATGCCCAGTGCCTTACACACAGCAGTTAGCCAACCAGGATTCTCAGAGACCTGACTGGTTCTGTGCATGCAGGTGAGACCTTGGCCTTTGCGAGCACTCCTGGCAGCCTTGGTGTGGATGGTCAGTGTCTGGTCTCAGCTCTGCTTCTGCCCAGGAAGGTGGGGTGTCTGGAGCTGAGTGCCTGGCAGAGACCCCTGTCCTCTCCACACTCCATTCTCACCACCAAAGGAGGAGAGACCCAGAGAACAACTCAGCAGGTGTTTCTGCTCAGCTGGGCTCCTGGGTGGGGAGTGGCTCCTGTTGCCATCCTGGGGCTGCATAATAAAACACCACCAACTGTGTAGCATGGCCTAAAACAACAGACATTTATTCTCTCACAGCTCTGGAGACCAAAAGTCTGAAATCAAGGCAGGCCTGTGTGTCTTCTGAAGGTCCAGGGAAGGATACTTCCTATCTCTTCCAGGTCCTGGTGACTCCAGCATCCCTGGGCTTGTGGCCACATCACACCCATCTCTGCCTTTGTCTTTGTCTTCACATGGCCTTCTCTTCTATGTCTGTGTCTCTCTTCTTCTGATTTTTATAAGGACAGCCATGATTGGATTTGGGGATGATCTGGGTAATCCAGAATGATCTCTTCATATAGAGATCCTAAAGTTAATTACCTCTGAATAGATCTTTGTTCAAGATGAGGTCATATTATAGGTTCTGGGGTTAGGATGTAGATATATCTTTTGGCGGCTGCCATTCAACTTACTATAGGTTCTTAGTGGAAAGAGTCTGGGACATGCTCACAGTGAAGGGCCCACATGGACAGGAAGTGTTAACATGACCTATAGAGACCACCACCTGAGGGCACCTTGAGCTCTTTGGTTTCTGGATGATGACAAGGAGTCAGTCTGAGAGAGGCCTTAGAAGAAATGACAATGGCCCCAGTCATTCCCTTGTAAGAGCAGTGGAACAGGCCTGCTGGCATCCTGAGCCCCAAGTGTCTAGGAGTTTGTCCCCTCTGTCACTTCCTGGTATGTTGTAATTTCACTGCCTGGGCCATGACTCAGCACTTCCTCCATCTTCCCAAATATTCTAGTCATACTGAGGACCTGCAGGAAGTTCTTTTTTTTTTTTTTTAACTCTTTATATACCTGTCATGATCTCATGGAGCTTCACAGTATTTCCTCTTTTCCTTTCTAAACTCAAGAGCAACTTGTTTTTATCTTTGTATATCATTCCAGGCTCCAGCGCTCTCAGCTACAAAGATGGGTTTTGAGAACTGGTACCAATGTTGTCTGAATTACAATTGATCTGTTAAAGAGGATGAAACTGCCAGATTTTAATGTCGTTTAATTACAGCTACCCTCATTAAGGACAGGAGAGGAAGTGGAGCTCTTTCAAAGGTACTTCAATTGCTATTGCCAAGTATGGAGTTCTCAATTTTTCCAGTTAAT